TCTATTTTACTCTTTTGGTTCTGTCTTTAATCAAATGCAGGCAAGGGATCTTTCCAAAATTGTGCAAGCTGCTTATCATCTTATACTATATTTCATCTTTAGTCCGCAAGAAGGTGAGTTTTCAAATGCTAGTGCCACTTTCTTGTTTTCTTAGTTGCATGAGTAATGAAGACAACTTTCTCAAGCATTTTTTTTCATCAGACATCAATGCCTTTTGAATTTTCCCAGCTTCAAATCTATTCTAGCAATTGCATTAACTAGATGGGCTATTCTTCTTCCTTTTTGTGCCCTTTCAATACTTGATCTTGTCGATCATCGGAAACCCTATCTATAAAAATTACAAGAAAACAGCCAGCTAAATTGTGGTGGAAGAGTGGGTATTATATTCTTAAATAGAAAAAATATGTGAAAGGAAGTACAGCTAAATTTGGTATGATTTTCAAAAATGAGGTTCGAGGAGCACACTTTTTTCAGCCACTGATCCTCAGATTCCAGAGTATGTGACTTGTGTGAGAGCGGATGATGGCCTGTTTGCGCATTCATACTCAAGATTGCCGTCCAACCATATCCTTCCAAGGAAGCACACAACGTTGAGACTTCTTATAAAGTGGGGGAGAAGACATTAGAGATGATTAGCCTGCCGTCCGATGCTGTTGAGAAGCTGATAGAAGGTGAAGAAATCAAATGCAAGTATGGGACTCAACAGGAAGCTGCTCTTTCCCACTAAAAGGACCAACAACAAATGCTCATCCTAAGTTTCAAATTAACCCGTTCCAGGTCTTCGTCCAAGTGGGTACATTATTGGAATTAATAGAACAATCCATTCTTTTAATACAAACTTTTATCTTAACCAATGACTATGATGAGTCAAAGTTGGCATACGTTGCTCATGTGATTAGATCTCTTGAAAAAGGTTGGGGAGTTATGTTATGACCATAGTGGCTAATGATACTATACTTATAATAGTTTCAATATTTGTGTGTTTATAAATTTAGAGAATGCAATGTTGGATTTGAGATGCTCTACTTTTATGAATCAGTGTATCATGATAAGACTCGAACATTTGTTTTCTGACAAAGTCAGCTTCTATTCTTGTTAATGCTTTATTGACTGCAGAGTCAATTGCATAATGTTTTAGGTAACCCATTTTCCACTTCAATGTGTATTTGAATTGTGATAAGAGGAGAGAGGGAGAAGTATATAAAATATTATGATACTATATTTTTTAATGGGAAGTTGTGTAATAATTATATAAAATTATAGAATAAATTGGTCAATTGTCGTCGGGACCGTTGATAATTGATAACTGGAAAATGTCTAGGGATGTCAGTTTTTTAGGCCCGGCCTAGAATCGGCCCAGACTTGGGTATACAGGGTGGGTATACCTGGCTCGGATATAAAAAACAGTTATTTAGTTCAACATTATCTTTCTATGTCTTAATAATTATAAAAATTATTTTTAAATACTATTTACCAAATATATTTGAAAAGAGATTGACTGATTGAGTGGGGCTTAATTTGTTTTTTTGTTTTTTCTTTAATTTAATTTATGAAGAACAAGCGAAGATAGCAAGATAAAATTCTAAATTTTGGGTTTTAATATTTGTCGATGTAGTGTTTCAAATAATTTATTCCTATTTATCAATTGATTTCAGAACAGAAGTCTATTTTAATTTCAAATGTATTAATTACACTTTTATAATTGTGTTCTTAGTTCATAATAGTATATTTGAAGTATCATAGAAATTTTGTATTTATTTAAAAAGAGGGTTCAGAAAACACAGGTCAAATATTATGGATAACAGAAATTAAAAAAAAAAAAAAAAAAAAAAAAAAAAAAAACGAAAGCAATGAAGTTTGAACATGAAACACAAAGCATTACAAAGCTAAGAAACAGAGCATAATGAAAATACAGAGATTACACATAAATAAAACAGAGCAATTAAATCACCCCCAACTTCAAAACAAGCAATCAAGAACAATGCAATATGTTGGATGAAGAGAGAATTGTAATCATTCATCTCTCCCTTAGACTTGAGAAATGGTCTTGATAGCTTTAGATTGTTGACTACATCATTCATGTCATTCGCTCTCTGGAGATGTTGTGGAACACGAGTCCAATCCTCAGCACGGAACCAAGAATTCTTCCATTTTCTTTTTATATCCTTTGAGATTCAAAGTTTTCATCATGATTTCTCACCTCCATCATCTCATTCATTTCTTTTCCAAGAGCAGTGATGGGTCAACAATGTCCATAACATGGTTTGAAAAGCCATTGAAACAAAGTTATGAATGCTCAAGTCATCTTTAAACATTTCATCTGTAGGTCTTACCTGTAAACATCTCCACAACAATATACCATAGCTGTATATGTCTCCGAGCCTGGAAACATGACCATCCATGTATTTCTACAATGTATGAAATTGGAGTCGGCACATGTCAATATAATAAAAGAAATTGATACTTAAAATTGTTTACTTTATGAATAATATAAGAATGACAAAATAATTTATATTATCTTATGTGTTCAAAGCTCAAGGACTTGATCCTTTTTTCAAACAAAAAATAGAATTAAATCTATAGAAATTTTACAAATTAAAGAGCAGTTAAATGTAAAAAAGAAATAGTTTAAGTATTTATTACTAAAGAATCTAAAATAAGAGCAAAAGAAAAAAAAAAATGGTAATTTAATTAGCAAGTTATAGACATTTCCATATTTTAATATAAGCTCTGCTTGTTGTACAAATTCGTACTTCTTAATGGTCTGCATAATCTTGAATTATTGATGGAACAGAACATGAATATACACATAAGCATAGTCAATAATTTAATCTAGTGGTGGACGAGATATAACAGTAGTAAAATTAATAAAAAATTTAATAAAATGTTTAGACTTTATGTAATTAATTATCTGTATTGTTATAAATAAGTTTTTTGACAGTTGTTCGTATTTTGAAAGATTTAAATATAATAAAGTTATTATGGCCAAAGAAATCAATTTTAGATGTTGCAATATTCATGAAAATAATTTATGATAATAATTAAAATGAGAATTTTATAGAGTTCTTGGACTTTTAAAGGGAAAAATTTGAATCAATGATAAGTATGAGAAAATGAAAGACACTATTCATAAAAACTACTATATTGTATTACACGTGTATTTTCAGAATATAATAAAATAAATAGTGATAAAAATGTGATAAATTGATAATAATTAGAATGAGAAATGTTGTAATTAATTAAACGAAGGTTAAGACCTTAAGAATTTCTAAAAATAAAATGATAATCCAGAACTAAAATTCAAATATACTTTTGAGAAAAAAATAAAAATAATAAAAAATACTTGGAGGGATGTAGCCAATAGAACCTCTTAGAGCAGCTGATGTTATTGACTTTGCAAGGCTATTGATGATTCAAAAAGGAACCTCGACAATCCAAAGTCACCAAATGGGCCATCATATCTTCATCAGTAGCACATTGCTTGGCTTGAGGTCACAATGCACAATTGGAGTCTGACAATGGATGATGGAGATAATCAAAAGCAGAAGCAACATCAATTGCTACATTTAGTTCTGCATAAGGGTCAAGTTCTTGATTCCAGCAAGTTGCTCATTAGGACCGGATGTAGCCACTTGTCCAAACTTCCATTAGACATGAACCAAAAACAAGACATTTAAAGTCATTTCCTCATAATCAACACTTGAACAAACAGATGATCTTGAGGATGTTACGGTGTCGTATGCTTTTCAAAGCATGCATTCTCAATGAAAATCTTTAAGGCTCTTGATGTTGAACTTTTGACACCTAATTGCAACAATTTTTCCATCACCAGAAAGAGTACCTTTGTAGAAAGAACACCAAACTACCCACACCGAACAAATTTTCATAGAAAAGTTATTAGTTGATTTTAAAATGTCAGAGTAAGATAAAGTAACTGACTTTCGATCGAAGATGTAGTGGAACTGTCGTGAAGATTTCTTTTGTAATATAAAAAAAAGAAATCACCACCAGAGTCGTACTGTAACACCAATAATTATTGAGATTACTATTCTTAATTAATATGCTTTTCAGAAACTTTTGTTGAGCATAAGGCAAAAGTAGTTCTGGAGCACCGCACAAGCTTTTCATTTCCAATAAGTGAAATCTCGGCACTTGCATTTGCGAATATCCTTTCTTGGGTACTTTACCTTCAAGCTTATAAATGAAAGATTGGATACTGAGAAACAAAAATTGGCTGAAAAATTCAGGAATTTGGCAGATAAATTGTTCCAAGAAGATCCAATCCTAAACTCTTAAACTTTTCAAAGATTCAGGATAGTCCCAAACATGTTATTCCCAAGTACAGACGTTTCAAACTAGTACAACTTCAAGGCTACTAGGAATTTCACCGGATAATTTGTCGGATACACCAACTCTCCAAGATTTTTTAAGTTACCCACTTCTAGTGGTAGTGAACCACAAAAAATTATCAGACAAACCCAAATAAATTGATATGGAAGAAAGACCGAAAACTTCTTTGGGTATGTGCCATTTAGACTATATTCCCTAAATACAATGCTAGCAATTTTTGACACTTTCCAAGACTTGGAGGTATGCTTCCCTCGAATTCATTATGCTCAAACAAAGCTTAATTAATTTAGTCAAGTTGCACAGTGAGGATGGGATTAATCCAGAAAACTTATTGTTACATAAAGACAATTTCTCTAGATTCGTAGTCTCCCAATAGCTTCAGCTGGAAACACTACCAATTAGTAGTCGTGCAAAGGATAAGACAGTTAGGTTAACCAGGTTTCCAATCCCAGCAGGGATGTTTCATGAATCGATTCATTCCAATATCTAAAATTTGCAATTGAGTTGAAAGGTTGCCTATGGAATTAGGCAACTCTCCCCAAAAGCTATACCATAGGACCCAGTCCTACAAGCCTAGTACAATTAGACAAAATTTTAGAAATTCAAGTCACCAATTTCCCCCTTTCCAAGTCTTTATACTCCAAATAAGTCTAATGAGACTTGCAAGCTTCCAAACCTTCTGGAACATTCCCAGTGAGGCTATTATTACAAAGATCAACTCCTGAAAGTTTAGAAGCATTTGGCAATGTACAGGAATACTTCCTGTAAAATAGTTATAATTACAATTAAATTCTTCAAGATTGGGGAGATTGAGTCCAAATCTGACGGCAACTGCCGTGCAGCTGGTTTTGAAACACAGAGAAATAGTACATTGAAGAGAGATTTAAAATTGAGTAGGGATGGTACCAGAGAAATAATTCCCACCAATTTGAAAAAATCTCAAGCCTGATATAAACCTAGTTCCTTGGGTATGCTCCCCTGTAAATATTCTGCGCAAGGACCAGAAAGCCAAGAGAAGAAATATTGCCAATCCAAGCTGGAATTCTTCCTGTAAGATGTTTAGCTCCAGTAGCAGATATTCAGTTTCGACAATGAACTAAGCGGTCCGGAATCTGCCCAATAAACTCGTTGCGAGTAAATTAGCTCTCAGAGTTTGTACAACGAGATAAAATCGTTGGAATACTCCCACCAAAGTATATGAAGGCGAAGTTGAGATTTGCAGCTGCTTTAAACGGCCTATTTCGTTGAGGAACTTCACCACGGAAGCTATTGTTTTGCAAGTTGATAGCAGTAAGAGATGTAAGGGCCTATAGAGCGGTATCGATCCAGCCAACTTTTGCGATTTCAAGTACAAGATTGTGACCCTTCCATCAGTTGGACTGCATGTAACACCAGTCAATTGCAGAAATGCATAGAATCATTCCAGGAGCTCATGATCTGAGAGGGTCTTGATATTCGTTGCTGAAATCAAGTAAAGCGAGTCATCAGAGTGAAAGCCTGATGAGGCTGAGGTTATCATCATATAAGATGAAACAGAAGAAGGAAATGGAACAAAAAACATTTTGAATTGAAAAAGTATCGCTCCATGGTTTTGGAATGAAGAAAGAGTGATTGAATGTTTGAAGTTTGAACTGTGGAAGAAATAACAAAGAAAATTTTATGTACTGGTTATGTTGATTACAAATTTATAATATCTCGTTTGTCATCTGATCCACATCCACAAGGGTAAAATATTAAAAAAAAAAATTAGTATTTTCAATTAAAAAATCAGTATTTTCTGTGTTTAATGATTTTTTTCTTTCAGAAATCAAAATATAAACTTTAGGGAATAAATTTATTTTTTTTCCTACGGTTTAGAAAGCAAAAACAATAAAAAAAAGAAATGCAAATATAAATTATAAGGTCATCTTTATTTTAGTGTCCAAAAAACTTAAAAAAAAAAAAAAAAATGAATATTTTTATTTAGATATTTATTGGTTGTTAGTTTCACCACTTCAAACTGAAAATAAATCATATCTTCTTAATAAAAAAAAAAAAAAAAAGAAGAAGTTGTTTTAACTAAATACAAAAACTATTTGTTTGCCTTTAATGACTTTTAAAATACCATTCTTTAATTTTAAATTTCAATCATGCCCCTTAAAACCCTAACTCTTTCCATTTTATTCACGTTTTTATTACTTACTTGTTATTATCTTTTATATAACAATAATATACTCAATACTTGAAAAATGTTTTTGACATGTTTTCATATTTTGAAAGATTTAAATAATAATAAAGTTATTATGGCCAAAGAAATCAATTTTAGATGTTGCAATTATTCATGAAGAATAATTTATGATGATAATTAAAATGAGAAATTTTATAGAGTTATTGGACTTTTAAAGGGAAAAAATTGAATCAATGATAAAGTATTAAGAAAATGAAATGACACTACTCATAAAAACTACTTATATTGTATTACACGTGTATTTTCAGAGGATAATAAAATAATAAATAGTGATAAATTTATAATAATAATTAGAATGAGAAACGTTGTATTTAATTAAACGAAGGTTAAGACCCTAAGAATTTCTTAAAAGTAACATGATAATCAAGAACTAAAATTCAAATATACTTTTGAGAAAAAAAAAAAATAATAATAATACCTGGAGGGATGTAGCCAATAGAACCTCTTAGAGCAGCTGATGTTATTTGACTTTGCAAGGCATTATCTGATGATTCAAAAAGGAACTTCGACAATCCAAAGTCACCAACATGGGCTGTCATATCTTCATCAAGTAGCACATTGCTTGGCTTGAGGTCACAATGCACAATTGGAGTCTGACAATGGTGATGGAGATAATCAAAAGCAGAAGCAACATCAATTGCTACATTTAGTCTCTGCATAAGGGTCAAGTTCTTGATTCCAGCAGATTGCTCGTTAGGCACCGGATGTAGCCAGTTGTCCAAACTTCCATTAGACATGAACTCAAAAACAAGACTTTTAAAGTCATTACCTTCATAATCAACACTTGAGCAAACAGTTATGATCTTGAGGATGTTACGATGTCGTATGCTTTTCAAAGCATTGCATTCATCAATGAAACTCTTTAAGGCTCTTTGATGTTGAACCTTTAACACCTTAATTGCTACAACTTTTCCATCACTAGAAAGAGCACCTTTGTAGACAGAACTGAAACTACCCACACCAAGCAAATTTTCATTGGAAAAGTTATCAGTTGATTTTAAAATGTCAGAGTAAGACAGACTTAACTGTCTATCAATCGAAGATGTATTGAAACTTGTCTGTGAAGATTTCATTTTGTAATATAAAACAAAAGAAATCACCAACAGAATTGCAATTGTAACACCAATAATTATTGAGATTACTACCTCTTTATTAATATACTTTTTAGAACCTTTTGTTGAGCATACATTTAAAAGTAGTTCTGGAGCACCGCCACAAAGCTTTTCATTTCCAATAAGTGAAATATTGGCACTTGCAATTGCGAATATCCCTTACTTGGGTACTTAACCTTCAAGCTTATTAAAAGAAAGATTGAGATACTTGAGAAACAAAAATTGGCTGAAAAATTCAGGAATTTGGCCAGATAAATTGTTCCAAGAAAGATCCAATTCCTCTAAACCTCTTAAACTTTTCAAAGATTCAGGAATAATCCCTCCAAACATGTTACTTCCCAAGTGCAGACGTTCCAAACTAGTACAACTATCAAGGCTACTAGGAATTTCACCTGATAATTTGTTCTTGGATACATCCAACTCTCCAAGATTTTTCAAGTTACCCACTTCAAGTGGTAGTGAACCAGTCAAAAAATTATTAGACAATCGCAAATAAATTGAAATGGAAGAAAGACCGAAAACTTCTTTGGGTATGGTGCCATTTAGACTATTACTATCTAAATCCAATTCTTGCAATTTTTGACACCTTCCAAGACTTGGAGGTATGTTTCCTACAAATTCATTACTGTTCAAAAGAAGCTTAAATAATTTAGTTAGGTTACCGAGGGAGGATGGTATTATCCCAGAAAACTTGTTGGAATCTAAAGACAAGACCTCTACATTCTGGAGCCTCCTAATAGCTTCAGCTGGAACACTACCACTCAAGTAGTTTTCATCAAACGTTAAGACAGCTAGGTTAACTAGGTTTCCGATCCCAGGAGGGATATTCCCATGAATAAGATTCATCCCAAAGTTTAAAGTTTGCAATTGAGTTGAAAGGTTTCCTATGGAACTAGGCAACTCTCCACCAAAACCATTACAACAAAGACCCAACACTTTAAGACTAGTACAATTAGCCAGGGCAGATAAAAAATTCAATTCATCAATTTCCCCCTTTCCAAGTCTATTATAGTTAAAATTAAGTCTAATTAGACCTTTCAAGCTTCCAAAGCTTTCTGGAATATTCCCAGTGAGGCTGTTTCCATAAAAATCAATGACGGAAAGATTAGAAGCATTTGACAATGATTCAGGAATACTTCCTGTAAAATAGTTAACACCGCCAGAAAATATTTCAAGATTAGGGAGAGTGAGACCAACATCTGAGGGCAGCTGCCCATGCAGCTGGTTTTGAGCAACAGCGAAATAGTATATAGAAGAGAGATTATAAATTGAAGTAGGGATGGTACCAGACAGATTATTGGAAAAAAGTTGAAAAAGTCTCAAGCCTGATATCAAACCTAGTTCCTTGGGTATGCTCCCTTGTAAATTATTTCGCGCAAGGGACATAATGAGAAGAGAAGAAATATTGCCAATCCAAGCTGGAATTCTTCCTGTAAGATTGTTAGCTCCAAGTCCCAGATATACCAGTTTCGACAATGAACTAAGCTGGTCCGGAATCTGCCCAATAAACTCGTTGTAACTAAATCCAAGTACTCTAAGATTTGTACAACGAGATAAATTCGTTGGAATACTCCCACCAAAGTAATTGAAGGTGAAGTTGAGAGTTTGCACTTGCTTTAAACGGCCTATTTCTTGAGGAACTTCACCATGGAAGCTATTGTTTTGCAAGTTGATAGTAGTAAGAGATGTAAGGTTTCCTATAGAAGATGGTATCGATCCAGCCAACTTTTGCGATTTCAAGTACAAGATTGTGACCCTTCCATCAGTTGGACTGCATGTAACACCAGTCCAATTGCAGAAATGGATAGAATCATTCCAGGAGCTCATGATCTGAAGAGGGTCTTGAGTTATTCGTTGCTTGAAATCAAGTAAAGCGAGTTCATCAGAGTGAAAGCCTGATGTGGCTGAGGCGATCATCCATGAAAGATGAAACCAAAGAAGGAAATGAAAGAAAAAGGTTTTGGAATTGAAAAAGTGTCGCTCCATGGTTTTGGGAATGAAGAAAAGAGTTATTGTGTGTGAACTAAGTGGGAGAATAACAAAGAAAATTGTATATACTAGTTATGTTGATTATAATAATCTTTTTCAAAAATATCAAGAAGTTGGTGTGGTTTATTTTGATCCACATCCCATAGACAAACTGTAAAGTATTTAAAAAAGAAAAATTAGTACGTTTTTTAATAGAAAACTAACGCTAATGTTTTACAGTTTTATGATTTTTTTTTTTTTTAATTAAAGTCAAAACGCATGTTTTGTTCTAACAACAAAAAAAAATAAAGCAAAAATCATAGCACATGCATTATAAAAAAATTATAGCAAAAATTATTTATATTTTTGTTGTTATCACCAAGCCTCCTGTCTAGGCACAAATTATTTATTATTAATCATAATCAACGTACATAGATGTAAGTCAAGTGAGAAGATTATTTATGATAGTGATGAAAGTCTTCTCTCTTAATAGGTGGACCCTTGACTTCCTACGCACAAAAATGCCAGCCTGCCTTTTAAGGCTTTAACTTTTGAGGAAAATAATAGACATCCGGAGTAGTTGTGCATCAAATGATGTAATAAAATCCTGACCGTTAATTAATTATAACTTAATATTAATTGACGGTTAGGATTTTGTCACGTCATTCGATGCACAAATTTAGTACACTACTCCTTGTGACTATAGCATTACTCTAACTTTGAAACGTATTAATTACTCTTTAATAATTACTGCTCTCACTAATAGACAAAATAGAAATTATTATATGAAATAACTAAAATGGATACTGTTTAATAGAGGAATGTAAGTTTAATTAATTGGTTCGTCACTAAGGAGCTACATCTTTTATATAGGGAGTATACGATCTTCTAAATCTCTTAACTATGTCAATTACAGATTATACAATATTCTGTCTAACATAATTATGAGATTACATAATTTGTAAAATATTTTGAGATCGTATACTTGACATAACTAAAGGATTACAGAAGATTTACAAGATTACAGAAGATTTACACAATATTATGGAAATCTCAACACTCTCCATCAAGTTGATGCTAAAACTTGTAAGAATATGCGTTTAGAGACAACTTTGATAAGGATGTCAGCCAATTGATTCTCTGATTAAATCTTGGGTAATTCAATAATCGTTTCATCCAGTGGCGGATTTACTTAATGACGAGTGGGGACCACGGCCCCCACTCAAATTTTAAAAAATTTCAGAGTCCATAAATATTTTTATTTATTTGTATTTTACCCCCTATAAAACTTTAACATTTCGCCCCCACAAGACTTTAATATTTCACCCCTATATAACTTTGACATTTTGGGAAAAGAAGAGCTTTTTTGGTTTTTGAACTCTTACAGTTTCAGAACAAAACAGACGCTAAAAAGTAAAACCTCTCTTTCCTCTTTCTCTCTTCCCTTTTTCTCTCATGGTGCAGGTCAGCAGGTGCTCTAACTCTCAGTCTCTCTCAAACTCTGACTCTCAATCTCTCACCAAACTCTCCTTCCAAGGCTGAACGACTGAACCAACATCCAGCTGTACTTTTCATCCATTTATCAAAGGTAATGTCCCTAATCCTAAAGGCTAAATCCCTAATTTTCTCTATTCATTCCATGTTTTACAGTTGTAGAAATTTTTTTATTGTAGTTTCCAATAAAATTGAGTATTATATATTTAGAATTTGTGATTTACTAAACTTGAATCTTGCTCCTAATGGCCAACCAGAGTCTTTGAAATTGAAGGGGCCCTTACCATTTAGCCAATGCAGCAATGCCCATTGCCCAGACGTCCCCAAGCACAATGAAAAACAGGACAAAAAATAAATTATTCATTCATCAAGAATTATGCCTCATTTACTGCTGATGGTTGGATTTGGAACTTGGATCATGTTACATGTATAATTTCAGTTTATTTTTTTAATTTAATTATTGTTGAGAAATAAGTTTGGCTTGGTTACTTTGTAGGTGTATTTTAATTTTAATCCACTCAATTGGGAAAGGCAAAAAAAAAAAAAAAACAAAAAAANAAGAAGACCAGCAATGAAGGTGCTGAGATTGGAAGAACAACGGAGCTTACCAAACCAGCTCATAAGGTGAAACTTTGAATGATTTTGAGATGAAAATTTTTGGAAGAATGAAAAGAATGGAGGAGAATGGAGCGGAGAAGGAAGAGTTGTGCTTGGGTTGCATAGATGAATGCAATGTTTACTTCGCTTTTTCCGTCAACCTCGCCTAACGTAGCTCCTTCTTATAGACATTTCCACCCCTTCATATGCGGGTAACGTTACCTCTGCATTCACCCTGTTGCACAAAATTACTTTTAAACACCATCTATTAAAGCTTTACCTTTTTGAAAGTGCCTCCAATATCTAAGAACAAATGAAATAAATTATCTTTTGTTTTGATAATATAAAAAGATATACCAAAAATCATATAATTAAAAATAATATTATATGAATCTTCATTTAAAAAGATTAAATTATTGAGGAAGATAGATAGCATGTTCTATAAAAGTTGGGCATGTGGGTTTGTTGAGAGAGTTGAGTCTGGAATTGGATCCTTTAAATTTTGTCTGTAATTAGTCAGGACTCTGTTATAAAACTTACTTAAAAGGGAATTGAATTTTGAAAATAAATCTCAACAATTTAGGGAATAAAATCGATCTTAAAAGGTATTAAGAATCTACTTTTTGATTATACGGAATCTAAAGATGAAGGAAAATAAAAAGATATAGTTGGGGTTAGTTTTGGGATTTCAAATTGGCAATTGGCATCACATATTCATTATGCATGCTATAGTTGGTTACTTGTACAAGTAGGACTTTTTGATTTTGTTAGGTAACTTAGGTGTGGGAAATAATGGGAGTTGTCCTTGTGGACTTCAATTCAATTATTCACTCTTTTTAATACTAATATCTTCTCTTTCCTTCCTCTTTCTTCAACTTGTCCCAAATCTCATTCCTCATTATTATTCTTTTTCTTTTTTTTTAAATTATAAAAAAAATCAACGGTTGAATTATTATTGACAAAAATTAACATCAACATAGGAAAATACTAAAAACAAGTCAATGATTACATCCTTTGACAAGTCAATTTCAGCTTCCCTCTATTAACAAGCCATGTGCTGTACGATTGTATTTGTGAGGAGCAGTGGTAGACTGGTAGATCACACCATATTAAGATTTTATTGGATTCATATCAATAAATAAAGTCCACTAAATAAACATAAAATTATCTAACAAATTATCAATATAAATTATAATTACATTATAGTTGCCAGATTGAATTTTAAATAGAATAAAATTATAATATTAGATATTTATTTGTTTGTTTATTACAAAAAAGGGGTGTTAGCCGAGCCGGTAAAAATTCTAACTCGGCTCGATTTTTAATTGAACCGGCTCGGCTCGATTACAGTATGGAGCCGAGTTCGAACAATTCGAACTCGTAGGCTCGCGAGTTTTAGGAAGCTCAGGTATATTTGATATTTTTGAAACAACAGGGGGTGATATGTAATTTTATTTTTTAAAAGTGACAAACACACCCCTAAAAAATTCAAAAAACGAGTCATTCAATTAGTGGTGGGCTCGAGACTGCCACTTTGTGGCAGTAGCGGATAAAAAAGGACACAACATTAAATTGTAAAAGAAGAAAGAGAAAATAAAAAAATATTTTCTCTCTTCCCATACAAATAAAGGATAGAAAAAATATTTTCTCTTACAAATAAAAATAATCTTTCCTTTCAGAGTTTCAAGGTTTCAAGCTCATGGCAGTAGAGTCTCCGGTGTTTGCTCCGTTATTTGCTACTCATGGTGACTTCTTGTTCAAATTGCTGTAACTTCAAACCCTTCTCCCTAATAATGTATTACTATTATCATTCCTCTTCTCTTTCAAAGTTTCATGGTGGCTTCTTGTTCAAATTGCTACTTCATTCTTTACTACTCGTTTTCTCTCTTCCTCGAAAGTTTTCGTTTGCACTTTCAGTTATTTTGTTTGCCCATCTAGGCTTTGTTTGGTTGCTGAGAAAATGTATTAAAATTGTAGGGACTCAAACCCGAGCTTCCCTCGAGCTCGATTAGCTCCCCCATGTAATCGAGTTCGAGCCGAGCCACAAAATCGAAGGCTCTAGAGGCTCGGCTCAAACTCGCATCACTTGAGCCGATTACAGCCCTTATGGCAACAGATATTTTTCCAACAGGAGTTGGGAAAAGTCCAAAACCAAAATACAAGTGGGGGCCATGCAGCTGATATGCAACTTCCTCAATAGTACATTCACGTGATCTGATTCTGATCTCATCTTCTGTCAACAATAAGAAATGTTAATTATATAGACTGAGAAAATGTGAATTACTGGTTATAAAGCAATGTTAGATAAATTTAACGATTTTTTTATTTTTTTTCGAAAAATTTTATATTATAAAAGATATTTTTATATTTTATGAACAAAATGGATAAATTTCTTTTTAGATTGGGTAATATTACATTTACAATCTAATTTCATAAAGTTTTTTTTTATAACTTTGATATCTTAGTTCACAATTGGATAGTTTGCAATGAGTAGAGCTGGTCAGGATGGGTCCCAAGCAGGTTCGGGACTCGTCCCTTTAGGATTGGATCAATCGCTTATGGTTATGGGCCTAAGATTGGTTCCAAGTTCATGAGCAATTTCAGGACCAGTCTTATGGACCAGCAATTTTTTTTCCCCTTAATTTTTTTATATTTTGGGACGAAATAAAATTTTGTGGGGGGTTAGTAATTTTTAGGGGTACATTAGTCAGTTTTTAAAAGTTTAATTAATTTTAAAAAATAATAAAATAATAAATTAATTAATGATTAATTTTAACATAAATATAATATTCACACATTTACGCTCCGCAAATAAATAATTAAATATTTTTTATTAAATTATTAATCTTTATTGTCAGTAACATTTAAATTATTAAAATATATGTTCCTAAAGAGTTTAAGTAGTTTGAGGTTTTCAAAGTGTTGTTGTAGTCTTATCTCTGCATGAGTCTA